TGAATTCAAATGCTGCCTTCACTTTTTGAAATGGTTATCAATGAAGAAAGTTATAGTCCTTTAAATAGGGGGTACATTTGACGATTTTTCCAACTAGCGCGCTCTAGGCACAGCGCGCGACGCGATCGCGGGTAGTTAGCGCCGCTATACTGGAGCGCGAGACTGTTCAACTGTGTAGGGGCAGTACCTCCTTCAATGTTCTACTTTCCGGCCAATGTGGCAAAGGTTAAATGTCTTTAAAGGAAAGAAGGAGAACCTAATCTGAGCAGAATTGAATCTAGCATTTGGATCAAGCCGCATTTGCGTGGCAGCGGCGCTGCGTCCCTCTCGCACATCTGAAACTAGCATTTTTTGATATGAAACCGGATGTGCAGAGGACAAAAAGGGGTCGTATCAGAGTCCATGTTTTGGAGGGGGGTCGTAAAGAGGCGGTTATTTCCTCGACACGATTTTCACCCTGATCCACAGCTGTTGACTGATCGCAGCCTAGTGCTGCTGCTGGCGACTGGCATCATTTAGCTACGCTGTAGAGCTGTGTTAATGCGCATCATTCATTCATTTCCCACAGCCCATCAGAACATGGATTCTTCTTTGGTCTCTTTAGATTGAAAAAATCTCCAGCTGAATTCCCTAGCAAAGGAGCACTAAATCATGGAGAACGACCTCTTTCTCGAACAACGAGGACGCTAGATGGAACGACTGAAGTAGAGTGGTCTTGAAGAAACTAGTAATACATGAAGTTGTTCGACAATCAATATCACAATTCCGTGTTTTCTGCTCACGTTTTGGTACAAAACTCCTTTACGAGCTCGCATAATCGCATGCACGTGAAACGCTCATAAATTGAAACGTAGAATCTGCTCGCGACTTCATCGGCTCGAAACTCTGGGAGTTTATTCTACAAGTTAAGACGCAACTCTTTTTTTGCCAAAAAATTATCTATCACTCTGAGCTGTGATAGGCCCTCTTAGGATCATTCAGTGCTTCGAAAAATGGTTTGAAACAGGAGAGCTTTCAAAGCTGAGATGCAAAACGTTGCACGAAGGATCCGTACACCCTCTCAAAAACTTCGAAGTAGCACTACTCTAATGAAGTTCCAGAGAAATTACAAGACTTTTTTTCTCAAGAAGAAGTTTTGTTTCAGGACTTTCGGAGAAACTTGACAGTAAGAACAAAAACGTCTCATGTGCTAACCTTCTCATCTTCAGCATCAACGACCACATCAGCATATCCGCTTGTACCCGAGCCAGCACTAATCTTTGAATTGGATTTTGCCAAGTTGCTGCTCTGAAACAAGTTACATTACAATATTCAAGGCAGAGTTTGCACATGACTACAGACTTTCTGACTGGAGTCGCAAAGGAAGTTCCTGTTAACGAATAGACTGGGAAAGCTTCCCATCTTTTCTAGTCTGTTGTTTGCTACAGCGCTTCTCCCAAGGGCCCAGGGGCAGTGTTTCGAATCACCCCTTTCGAAGCGCGCAGGAAACGGGCAAATTAAGCGACACTTCCATATGTCTTCTCTCATATCTGCAGATCACTCCGAATGTTTCAGAACGGAGCAATCGCCATTATCTCAGAGCTTGAAGAAAGTGGTCGTCTCAGTCCTCTTAACTGAAGACGTTACCGTGATCCATGTCACCCTTCCAACATTTAGTGATAGCATGCGCCGGTTAGACGTGATTTATGGCTTCCCATGGCTGAGACTATGATGCCACCGCTTTTCCACTCAAATGGAACAAAAGCCCTCGAAATACGAGAATCTACTCCCCTCCTCTGGGCTCAGCGTGCACCACCGTTTGTTTGGTATGCATTATTTTTGCTTCGCTAACCCATTTCGGAATGGCTCCATTCTTCAGACTGGCAGATCTGTAGTATACCCATTTCACCACAGTGGTGCCCTGTCGACCGTACTAGTCCTCGCATCTCAGCATTTGTCACGTTTTGAGGTGACGCTTAGTGTCAGGAATAGCCATAAGCGTAGAGGAGGGGTTCCGAAACGCGAACTTATCCCCTCGTAGATTAACTACCTGCTCTGCCCATAGCGAGAGATGATCGATCAGATGAAGCTAATGAGTTTGGCTCAAGTCGTGCGCGAGGTCTCATACAGCAAGGGGCTTTGGCTTCTTGCGGATTCATGAAGGTGGAGACTAGCCAACTGAGGCAAGTTTCTAGAGGTGGGCGCCTTCGAGATGTCTGGATGATTAGTGCCTCACAGTACACCGCTTCCTCTAAGGCACGAGTCGGGATTGAATTGATGCGTTATTTTGTTCAAACATTAGGCAAGGGGTGCAATGAGGAACATTAGTGAGGAGAAAAAGCAAAAAGCACCATAGAAAACACTAAATTTCCCTTAGGAGGCCGGCCGTAGTACGACGGAGAGACACAGCGCTGCGAGGAGAGGGAGAACGCGAGATAGTACGTCATACGCGAGAGGACGCAGAGACCACGTATGCCGTGGTGGATTACGCTGGCAGCGCGGGCAGCGCGGCGGGCAAGGCCTTAGCGCCATTGCCGCGCACTTTTGGGTCGCGATAGTGTCGCGCCCTCAGTGCTTGGGGAGCCCACTATCGCACCCTGGGAAGAACTTCTGCTGGTTGCCTAATCCTGACTCGTGGCTTTAGGCTACTCAATGTTATCTATAGGAAGGACGACGTTGTCTTACGGGCGCTTAGGTGTGGGCTTTTTCACCGCTGTGAGTTGGCAAGTTCACTTTCTTTGGTGCGACGACTTCAGCTAGTTTCAAGATAGCGTGACCAGCACTGCCAGAGTTACATTTGAACACTGCGCTCAGAGTTGGTAGTTCTACAACAGTTGATTGTCTAATCCCTTCAATAGTGTTTTGATACTATCATAAGTTTATCGCTACTTGTTCATGTGTAGCTGAGGTTGCGTCATCATCTGCCCATGGAGTAATCGTCCAAGCTCTTCTGAAGCAAAAGGAGGAGAGGGGAAGGTTACCGCAAGAAGTGGAGGCATGTTCTGGTGTGAGCGCAAGAGCGGCAGAAACTTCGTGAAAGTAAAATGGCACACGCATTTCGGAGTCTTTCCTCCGCCGCCTAAAGGCATATTTTACGATGAAACGGTAGGTAACGATGAAAGGATGAAATAAGGGTAAAGGGGTCAGTGGAACAGGGATGAAGAAGAAACCACGTGAAATAACCCGAAGCTTGCTCGCTGATTTCCGTATTGTTAGACACTCATCGTTGTATCTCTTGAACACAGCGCTCTCTCTGCTATCCACTCGCTGCGTATAGACCTGCAGTGAGTGATTAGATAGTCGGTGGGCGTTCCCAAAATAAAATTCAATTGCGCCAAAAGGAAGGCCATGCTGGATCGCAGGGGCAATATCATTCGATGCGAATTGTGTCTTAGGGGGTCTGCCTGTTTCTCCACTAGGTGAATTTCTCCTTCTTGGGTCTTCGTTCTTATCGTGAAATCCTCCCTAAAGCTTATGGTTAGTCCCGTTTTACCCGGTAATTCTTTACGCTATTCTGAACGCGAATGCAGTGCCATTACAATGCCTTGTATCTTCCGATAGCGCCTAAAGGGATTTATTTGAGGTATTCATATCTTTCCCCTTTGTCAGTCGCAAAGATGAAGTATTTCGTAACACCGATTTCTGAGTGGGATTGTGTCGATATGAGTATCGTTGAGTACGGTCAAGCAGCACTGAGTTGTCATGCAAGCATGTAAAGAACTTGGGAAGCTCGTTTATGACTTTCATCTACTTGATCTGCACATTACAGAGCAACAGGCCGGGCAGTTTCCGAGTGTGAGAGCGACTCCGGAACTCATACTTTTCATTTGTAATCGAAATTCCTTATTTGTTCAATCTATGCGTACGATATCGGACTTGTAATGCTCCAAATTATTAGCCAATAAAGCATACAAACCGGCTTTCTCCTTGGGGATTTCATGAGTGGATCGCTTTTCCGAACCCGGAATCGTCTGAAATTCAGAAAATGTTTCATTGTCTACACTGTTCTGAGTGGCGATCGTACATGCGATTAGGCGATTAGGCTATTCGGTGATGGGCGCTCATGTCCTTAGGGGCAGGGTCAACCATCGCGTTCGCGCTTTTTGAATTTTTGCGACCCCCCTCACCTTCCAAGAGGTTAAGGTAGACCCCCTCTTGTTATTGTTTTGTGTATTACAACTACATAAACATTGAATTATGAAACATGAAGGTCAGTAGACAACGGTTGCGTAGCGGCGTTAGCCTAAGAGCGCGCCATGCTTGAGCCAGGCGGTGAAGGAACCCAAGCATTCTTGAGCAGTCACTCCGAGTTGTCGCATTTTCGACAGTCATTGCTTTCTTCAGAGTGCCAGTTCTGATACTTGAAGGGGATTTTTCGAAATGAAGAAAATCGTGCTTCCTAAAGTATGCCAAAATAATCTTAAGGAAGCTACCATCAAAAATCTGACTTCTCTGAAAGTTCTATTCTCAGCCTAAAGTAGTCAATCCTTTCAATTCGTTGCTCTTCCTTGCTCTTTGTTTATCCTGTTACCCCAATATCCATTCAGAATAATCTTTCTTCTTCGACGAATCGAATTACAAGCGCGCCGTTAATAAGTCCTGCTTTGGGAAGCGCCACGTACGTACCTGTGGTTAAAAGTTGCGAAGGCATTTAAAGGTCTTGTTCCTTTAGATATCACCTGTGAAAGACGCTCATGCTTGAAGTAATGCAAGCATAAGTTTACAGATGTGTGTCAGATTAACTCAGACAGCACAAAGTTGAAATGCTCGTTGCCCTCGATGTGATCTGTGGCAAGCTCGCGTTTCATCCCGTCGATATCTGGGAGATATACGGAAGAGTCCAACTTAAATTGAACAACTTTAATTTCGAATTTTTCCCACAAAGTTATATTCTCTTCCCGCACATCCCTCTCCCACTAATCTACCAGTGGCATATCGACTCGAGTTCTACTGCGGGCTCTCCGGTTTGAGACCCACTTCATGAGCAAAATGCGACCCTCTCGTTCGAATAGTTCGAACAGACGGTCGAACCTGCCGCCCACCCAACTGTCGCTAGGTGCCCATTCACCTACTCGCCCAATTGACCCTTATCTATTTCTCATAGATTGATGGCCTAATCACTTAATCGCACCTACGATCGCCAGCTTTGAACGCTTGCTTGCGCATGGAGTTTGGCCTACCCAATTTCTGAGAGATTACTCATGCTCAGAAACAGTGTGTGATAGGATGTTCAGCTGACCCTCACATTGTTCTTCATGAAATGCTACTTGCCATCAAAGCTGTTACTGTGCACAAGTTAGCCGGACCGTCATGGTACTTTCAGATTAGGGCGCTTATGCAATAGCTTTATACACAAAAAAACGAGCCAGCGACCTTTCTTCATTCGGTGCCAGAGACTCTTCTGCTTATCCAGTTTTAGGAATACTTCTGAGCTATTTTGACCCCTTAACAACCTAACCATAAGTATTAGGCCATGAAGAAAGTACTTGCGCTTTCTGGTGTTCCACTTATGAACGTTTTTTTCGTTTCGACTTTAAAGTAACAATCCAAGAACAAATTGTCGGGCAAAGACCACCGAAAATGAACTTGTAGGTGAAACGTTGATCAATAATGAAGGAAAAGCTACAAAAGACGTCGAACAAGGGCTTAGATAGGGTCTCTCCCTCTGCCACTTAGCAATGGAGGAGGACGCTTGTTGGACGAGTTGCTATGAATATTGCGCCGCCAGTTTAAAGCGCCCCCAATTGCAATTTGCTTGGCTAGTATCCAGTCTCTCGCGACGAACCAATCGGGGCGCAATAATGATAACATTTCGTGTTTTGAAGATAGAAGGAAAAAACGTAAAAATCCAACGTAGTCGGCATCACCACATCGATTGCTTTAAAGGATCGACCTCAGATAGTCCCGATGGAAACGACCGCAAATGTCTGCGCAGCCAACCATGCACTCTTCACCGGAGAAATGGGCGGCCGTACCGTCGGTGGATCCGCCCCACTTCGACGGCGTAAGGCCCCCTTCCAACGCCTTTCAAAGGTAAGTTTTCAAATCAGTGACATTTCCTATGTACTTGAATAGCCGCTGCTGCATGTTTCCACCCCTTGAGCGATCGACTTGGGTTGAAACTCGGTGGATTGAAGGAATCTTGCGCGGAAAAATCATGATTCTATTTCAGCCATAAATCACTGGCTTGAGACTCATTATCCACGATAATAGTGAAAAGAACTGAAGTATTGCTTTCGTTTTGATTAGAAATTCGAAAACTCGAAAAGGCTGCTACGCGTTCGAATTGCCCACGGACGTCTTTCACGAATGCTGGCGACGGGGATGCTCAAACTTGGTTCTTGGAGTGCATTCACTAGAAGCTCTTTCTGGCCTTCTGCTTCGTTGCATTCACATCTTACACTTCTACTCCATCCTATTCCATCGATCGATTTGTCTCCACTCTCCGAAATCGCGCGCTTTAACCCGATTCTCTCATTGCGTCGCCTGGTACGTAGCCGGCCAAACGCCGTCTTCTTTCCATGCCTCGCCTGGCTCTGCCTCCTGGTCCTTCGATGGTCCATAACGTGTAGTTTTTGTACGTTTGTTTCTCTTCAGAAACCGAATCTTCATGCGTGAAACTTTGTGTGCTATTTCCAGTGATCACAACTGACATATTCATGTTAGGAAAGAGTGCAAGAATTTTCCGCGCAAGATTCCTTTAAGCAAGCTGCCACTGTGCTATATATCATTTTGAAGTTTTTCTTGTCTTGATAGTGGGGTAGCCTTTGTTCTTTATCATTTGGTCAACATTTTGAAGCCTTGGATACGGCATACTCGAAGAGCAGACTTGTCAAATTTTCTTTTGCGAGCCGAAAAAGGCCTGTAAAGAGCGGAGTAAGTTATAGGTTTATAGATGCACTTGGCTGAGATTCACAATAAGTATGTTCTGAAACTATCGTTGAGAAAGCTTTCGTAACGATGTACCAAGGATAATGAGGGTGGTGGTCAGATATTGCACAATGTAAAAAAATAATCCGAAAGTTCCGTTTGAAGCACGCTTGCACAGAACTATCCTACTAAGCTGACCGCAATTGCACTGTGGAAATAGTTTTTACTCCAAGCAGAAATGTTTTGAATGAGACCGAGTTACATGCATTTGGAAGTTCAAGGTCGAAAAAGCGCAAGAACTTTCTTCAGAACTAGTATTATAGATTCTACTCTTGAGCAAAAAGCAATTCTAGAGATGGTCGCGTTTGCTTATCATCTGGTATGGGTATTGAACACCAAACTCATGTTAAATTATCGTGATCTATACTCCTGTAAATTGAAGAAGTTCAATCACATTTACTTTGCGAGAGAAGAAAACAAGCACAACCTACATCCAGCAGAGCAGCAAAGAAATGAATCTAGTAATCTCAACGAATAGCTGTGTATGTGAGCACACATATCAATATTGTTCGCTAATCAACATCGCTTAGGCCGCGTTCATAGTTCGCGACTCCGGAGATTAGGATAGTACGCGACAATGAAAACATATGTATTGACGGGGAGATTAGGATAGTAGTAGAGTAGGAGATTGCGCTGACAAGATTGGATACGTATCGATTGAAATCGCTGGAGAGTAGTAGATTGGGCGACTTCAAGCGAATAGATCAATACATATCTAATCTTGTCAGCGCACTATCCTAATCTACTACTATCCTAATCTCCTATCTATATCCTGTCGCTTACTATCCTGATCTCCGGAGTCGAACACGAACAATGAACGCTGCCTATACTCGATATCGGTGAGTTGGGGTGGGCGTGTCACCGGAAGTGACGTGCACTTGATAGAAACTATGTGGATAAGCTGCTTCCAACATACATCGCTGGCTATCAGCAAAGCATGCTGGCAACAGCTTATCCACGCACTTCTATCAAGTGCACGTCACTTCCGGTGACACACCCACCCCAACTTTCGGATATCGACTGTATGTCTATACTCGATATCGAGAGTTCACAGCATGCTGGCACAGCTGCACGCATAAATTGCAAGGCATGTGCCCCAACGTCGGATACTGCTGAACTACACGTCGGTGGGTATGCGGGCCACACCGCAGTCTCAAGTGCCACTGCGAACGTACAAATGGAAGTAGGATGTCGGAAAGTCTTTAGCCATTTGTCCAATTTTTTTCTGATTCCCTTTTTTCTGTAGCACAGTGAGCAATTTGACATGAAATTATCCTTAAGCGCCAACAATTGCCTCTCTAGCAACGAGCCGGTAGATCTCTTTTGTCTTGTGATGTTGAGCTTTCAAAGAAAAAAAAAACCTTGAAAAAGTCTACTACGAATAGGTCCAGATCATTAGGCGCTCCCTCTTCTGATTGATTTACCAGTAGCGGAAGCAGATAGAGTTTTGTTAGCGCTGCGACTGCCGAACGCAACAGGCGGGACAGAACGTCCTTAAACGGGCTCAGATTTGCTCTGGAAAAAAAAAACCTGCTTCAAAAACTGGCTTACGTGCGTTGCCTGAAAAGTTATTACGCCGTGGTTTTAGGGTATAGTGTCGGCGAACCCATCCATTTTCCCATATTATGGTATAGCAGTAGCAGTGCAGTTTTTTGGTAGGATCTGTGGGCGAACGCTTGGAGCTTCATCAATCCTGGAACGTTACCTGCTAGCTTGTAATGCTGAAATCGGCGCTGTAATCATTGGTTCTACGCGTCTAGGCCACTGGCGCTTCCGACTGCAGTGTACGTGAGGATCCCGTTTACGATTACAGCCAACAAAGTAGTCGGGTCAAACAAGAAACAGACGATAAATCAAAATTCATGCAGAATCTGAAGGCCTCTGACGGCTGTTGTTATCATATCACGAAATCTCCTTTTGCCATCTCTTTTTTTTGCGACAATATGAGGAACGGCTATTGTGCTCTGATAACTTTGAAAAAGCTGCGTCAGTTCCCGTGCATTGCTCCGGAGACTGTTTCCAAACAGCTCCAGAAGACACT